TATTAGTAAAGCTGGCAAAAGTCAACGATAAAGAAAAAATATTAAGGGCAGCAAGGCAGAAGAGAATAACCTATAAAGGAAGCCCTATCAGGCTTTCAGTGGATTTTTCAGCAGAAACCTTACAGGCTAGGAGAGAGTGGAATGATAAATTCAAAATTTTGAAAGAAAAAACTTTCAGCCAAGAATACTATATCTCATGAAAATATCCTTCAGATATGATAGAGAAATAAAAATTTTCCCAGATAAACAAAAGCTGAGGGAGTTCATTGGCACAAGACCACACCCCCTACAAGATTTGATCAAGAAAGCCCTCATACCTGAAAAAAAAAAAGAAAGGGTTTACAAAGCCTTGAACAAGCAGATAAATAGGCAGACAAAATCAGAAATTGCAACTCTCTATCAGAACAGATTAGCAAACACTTGATTATAACTCTAAATATTAAAAAAAAGAAAACATCAAAAATAAATATTATCACTTCATTTTAACCAAAATTCACAAAACACAATGCAATAAGTTGTGACAACAACAACTTAGAAGGGGAAGAGGAAAGGAATGAAACCTGCTTAGACTAAGGGAACAAGAGGCTATCAGGGAATGGACTATCTCTTCTACGAGATCTTTTATACAAACCACACAGTAACCACTCAACAAAAAATCAGAACAAAGACACAAGTGATAAATAAAGAGAAAACTGAGAAAACCATCATAGAGAGCCACCAAACTGAATTAACAGTCCAAAATACATGGGAAGAGAAACAAGGGAAATACATAACAACTGAAAAACAAGAGATGAAATGGCAGCATTAAGCCCTCATATATCAATAATCACTCTTAATGTAAATGGATTGAATTCGTAATCAAAAGACACAGAGTGGTTGGATGGATTAAAAAACAAGACCCAACAATTTGCTGCCTCCAGGAAACACACCTCAGCTCTAAAGACAAACACAAGCTCAGAGTGAAGGGATGGAAGACGATACTTCAAGCTAATGGCAAACAAAAGAAAGCACGTGTTGCCGTACTTATATCAGACAAAGTAGACTTCAAGATAAAAAAGGCAATGAGAGAGAGCAAAGAGGGGCAATATATAATGAGAAAAGGGACACTCCACCAAGAAGACATAATACTTATAAATATATATGCACCCAAGACAGGAGCACCAAAGTACGTAAAGCAACTATTAACAAACCTAAAAGGAGATATCAACAACAACACAATAATATTAGGGGACCTTAACACCCCACTTACATCAATGGATAGACCATCCAGAGAGAAAGTCAATAAGGAAATAGTGGACTTAAATGAAAAACTAGATGAGATGGATTTAATAGATATATATAGAGCACTCCATCCAAAAAGAACAGATTACACATTCTTCTCAAGCGCACATGGAACATTCTCAAGGATAGATCATATGTTGGGAAACAAGGCGAACCTCTATAAATTTAAAATGGAAATCATAACAAGCATCTTTTCCGGCCATAATGCTACAAAACTAGAAATCAATTACAAGAAAAAAGCTGGGAAAGTGACAAAGATGTGGAGACTAAACAACATGCTACTGAACAACCAATGGATCATTGAAGAAATTAAAGGAGAAATCAAAGAATATCTGGCGACAAATGAAAATGAAAACACACCATACCACCTCATATGGGATGCAGCAAAAGTGA